GGAATGAGGACTTCAATGCTTTCGCTCTGCGGAAAACTAAATTCCTAAAATATTTGAAAACTAAATTCCTCATAAAATATTTTAACTTGTTCAAAAAAATTTCCGCGGAAATTAGCGGGAAAAATAGAAAAATCTAAAAAAAAGCGGAAATCCGCGGAAGAATCTCATCCCTGTGTAGAGCAGTATTTCCAACTGGCGGCCCGAGAGCCGCATCCGGCCCGTGAACTAAAATATATTAGTTGTCATTTTTTTTGCGGACAATTTTTGTAAAATATCTGTTTGGGTTTAAAATACTTTTCTCGTTAATAAAAACCTAATTTCTTCGTTTCTGGGAAATTTAACATACCAACGGTGCAAAAAAATTTATTTCTCAGGTTTTGCATCCAAGAAAACATCTATTCAATTATAAAAATAAACGTGTATGTTGCTCTTTTTTATTTCATTTTTTTGTATTTTGTGAATATAATTTAACATGTGTGTATCATGAATTTTCTAGAAGAAATTCTCCAATTTAACTTTTTGAAACCACTTATTTTGGATGAAAATATTTACACACACATTTGTAAATTTTAAATGTAAATATCTATTTTCTGGTGGTTGCAGCAGACAAAAATCAATTTTCTTATTGAACATTTTGTGTGCTATGTAAGTTTTAATACCAACCTTTTTAAAGTTTTATTTCTTAACAATAAGAAATCTGTTGCACATTAATTGTTTAATACATAGGTGCACATTAAACTTATTGTCGCCCGAATTAATTTTTTAATATGCAATTAAATATTTTTAAAAATCTACTTCTTATTTTAATTTGCAATTCAATACTTTTGTTTTGTACAACTTGGTAAAAATCTGACAGTAATATTCAATGTTCCTTCAAACATAAAAGAGTCCAACAAAGTTGTGGCCCGCCATTTGATTTGTATTTTTAATTGTGGCCCCCGGCCTTATGCAAGTTGGAAACCCCTGTTGTAGAGGGATGTATTGTTATATCAAGGGCCTACATACTTTGGGGAGACAATAAGATTTCTTTTTTTAAAGTTTAATATTATCTATGTAATAACTATAAATGTAAAAAATTAAATTGCAGAGTGTTAATTATGGTTAAATATTAACAATAATTGAAAAAAATTCAGAAAATAAGATAGTCAACATACCTGAAAACTGTTTTTATTGAAAATAATCAGATATTTTTGTTTGTTTATTCATTATCATGCCTGTCAAGTCAACCAATTGAGTGAATGCATTGAGTCCAAAGCACGAAAATGATTTTCGTTTGTGCTCCACCCACCCTCGACACAAAAAATTATCTTACAGGTGTTAATGAGATGCTTGTGGTCATTTGTGACTCGTGATCAGCTTTTAACATAAAGGAAATGAAATAAGATAAAAAGTGTTACATCTGGAAAATAAGGTTGAAATTTGGAAAAAAAGTTCGTTTTACAGGGATTTATTGCTTCAGAGAATATCGTAATATTGAGAGGAGAATGGCATTAATTCATATGCAAGTTCCTTGGGACCACGAAACATTATCGTAATAAAAGGAGTTATTGTTGTATTGGATATTTAGTAGCGAGAGTTCACTGTATTTGTAAATATAACTATTGGGAAAAAAATTATTGGATAAATATTATTTTCTGACATGGCAGAATACCACTGAAAGTTATCAGTTGAACATCTTTTAACAATAGTCACCTTTCATAATATTACAAAAAATGTGACACTTTACTTGGTATGATACTGTTAAAAAAAATATTAGAGGGAATATTTTTTTTTTGGNGGGGGGGGAATGTTCAGGATTCGTAGAATATCAGTGGAAGATCTTTTAACGATATTTGCATATTTATAACATAACCAAAAGTGTCAAGTAAGACACATATAGTATTAAAAATAGTTATTGAGGGAATATTATTTAGAAATATATTACTTTATTCACAAATACTGTCTATAAGAACCTTCCCTGCAGTAGAGTCTGATGCTATAGAAACTAGAAAGAGTACATTTTAGGGGGGTTGATATTTTTTCCACTGACCTCCATTAAAAGTGTCCTACTTCACCACCTAGAATTTTGATGGCTTCAATGCCATCTACACATTTGAAATCTAACGTCTTTTTTTTCTTCTTCAGTGCGGTTTATCAGGGTTCTAATTTAATTTCAGAGAAAGAAATTCCCTGACTTTTCCAGGTGAATTTCAATGAAAATTCTGATGAATATTTTCTGAGATTCTGTAAACTGTGTAAAACTGTGATTCTTTTATTTGTAATGTGAAATATTAGATTTTATGGGTAAAAAGATATTATTAAAGGAGGAAGGGAACATTTGAGTTTGACTAAAATGTGAGATTTTTACAACAAATAATTGTAATAAACATTAGAATTATTTAACTCGAATCTCAATAACTGATTATTGTTACTGACAATTTTAAAACTGGTTGTTTTCCAGGTATGATAAAGGAATATTCCAGGTTTTAATAAAAAACAAAACAACTATTAAATTATGTGAGGGAAAGAAGGTAAAATAAGAACTACAGAAGTTGAAAGAGCTAATTAATCCTTTAATAAACATGCTTTTGTAGTACATATTTTATTTCACATTCAAAATTATTATCATAAACTGATTTAGATAGTGCATAGGTAAGTAAACAACTTTTAAACTTATTTTTCTCTTTATGTGCCTCAACAAAAAAAAAAGATTAAGAATTACTGGTGTATATCATAGTTTGCACATACTTTAAAATATGGAATCAAACAAAAAAAGATGTTTATTTTCATTTGTTCTACATTGATTATGACCAGAGGTTTGATTATAAAATAAACTGTATAGATTGTTAAATTATTTATTTAAACTTTTTGCTGAGTTCTGAAAAACAAAAAAATTAATAAATAAAGATGTTGATTGGACTAAATAAATGTTTTTGTAACAACTACATCAATTCATCAACATGAGGAGTAGCATGTAAACGTCCTAATGCAGCCATGGCTGGCTTAGCTTTCATCACTCGTCCTGAAATCTGAAAGGAAAAAAAAAATTTTAGATTAT